CCGGGTGAGAGAGGGAGGTGTTCAAGCGCCGGGAGTGTACACTTTGATGTACTTCTTTCGAGGATAGATAGCCCAGTAAGTAGTATAGAGAGTTTGAGTCATCATTATATAATATGCACATTTTGACGTTATTGGACAGATTAAGAGGGGAACAGATTGTTGATTTAAAATGCTATGACTAGTTTTACGAAATGATCTACAATATGACAATTAGTTGCAGTGACGATTGACGCAAAACCACTTTGACATAGCCAGTGTGAATGGTCCATTATATGGGGTTAGATAACTGCCGGACGTGCGACCAATGAAGACTGTCGCATACATAATAATCATTCTCTTGACTTTATTACGTTTTTGTATCTTCACAGCTTGACCCGTATTATTTTGCTGATTGAGTTATTCTGTTTGGAATTGGCTTTAGAAATAAACCTGAATTCATTATCCAGGACGTTTCTCTAACTCCCCACAGGGAACAGTTTATAAGGTCTCTATTCGGCTTAGTCGACACAAGCTTGTGAAGACCTTCTGTATGTATCTGGTCATGTCTTTGTACGCCATACTCGGTTACGTGTATCACCATGGGATTATACGCACATACCTGTTGTAATATGCTTACTTTTAAATCCTTTCTTTTTCTTAACATAATAACAACCATGGTGCAATTGAAGGCATAATTATTACGTTTCAATCCGTTTTTACGAATAACTTGTTCACAAACGTGTTTCATTCACGGGAAATTATACTTAAATTTGAATAGTGATTCCTAATAAATGCAAAATAATTATAGACACTGATATGAGAATTTACTCACGTCAGATGGCACGTGACTGGTCAGCCTTGCAATCGATTTCTCCATTACTGACAAACCCGATGTATTATTGATCTGTATTTTAAATGTTGACCCTGAAAAAATTACGGTGAAACCCAATCCAGTTCAATGACTGGTTTTCTTCCTAAGCCAACGGCATCCAGTACCAACAAATGGTGAAGAACGCACCAAGACTAAATGACCTAGGCAGGTAGACGTAAGTCAGATATGATCTGATTAGTTATACCTAACTGCGACGTTCATAAACTTATCCGATCTTTCGGATTTGATTACGAGATGTAAACTTGCCGAAATATGCGTTGTTTTTCTCGAAAGCATGACTACACGCTGAAATTTGAAATGAGATTTGGCATCACTTTGGATAAGTCAGGCTGTTCGTGAATTAGCAGATCTATTCAAACCGCCAACACGGGCAATTCGCTCTCTTTTATTGTTGGAAAAGCGAAACGCTTAAGGGAATTTCGTTTCATTTAGCTAGGCGATGTTTCTACTCACCGCGCTTGCTTGTCCCGCGTTCCGTGATTTTTGTTCCACTAATTTTTTGGTTTAAATTCTTGAAGCTCTCCTGAGCTTCGGTTGATGCTTATTTGACGACGTTGTTGCGGTTTACAAGGGCCGAGTAATTCCCAACTGGGGTAAACACGCGATTGGACTTGTTTTCACAAAACGATTTCAATCTTTTCCACAACGTACCCTTCAGTTAGCGGCTTTTCTGAGCATCCCACTATTAAGATTTTTCCAAATACACACAATGCAATACTAATAGTTAGATGTTCTTTAAATCCAGAGAACATGATAAGTTTTATAGTGAATTTCGTCGTGTAAACAGCAAACGAAGTGTGAACTGATAAGCTGGTAAGCGTTTCACAACCGTTTTGATCTGGTCGGATGCCAGCGGCAGTGTGAATCCATTGACCCAACTCGGGCCCAAACCCAAGAACTCAGAGGTAGAAAGCAAGCATAATGTCGACTTAACCACCGGATAGCCGATCAGACCCTCTACTTCAGTTTCCCTTTACACGAAATACTACTACTTCACTCAAAAACTGCGGCCTATCAAAGAATAAAAATGCCAGGGAATGAACAATCAACCGTCAGAACTTCATTGCAAACCAACGAAAAACGAAGTCCACTTAATTGATGGAACGTGCACTCGGGTCCCACAACCTGCAGGGCAGTCCGGAAATCCAAGGTTTTTCGTTGAATCAAAACAGTTGCTTGTGGACACCGAACAGCTTCATCGTGACCCTTTTCAATGAGGGTGNTGATGACGAACGACTGTCTAAATCATTTTCCCATCCCCGTATTCATGATACGATGTCCACAACAAACTATGACTGTCATCACCCAACTTGAAGAATGAACAGAATTATCAGTAATCAATAATGTTTGCGTCGAAACGTGTTCCCCTCTTTTCGAGTGTATATCCAACCAAAGTTTAGTTGAAAGATTTCCGATTGTCGAAGTGTTGTCCGTATCGACGAGAAATCGGCGCGCTGGTCTCCATAAAGAGGAAGGGTAAAACGTCGCCTCATATATTGCATAAAATTTACCTTTAAAGTGTGTTCAAAGATATTTCGTTATATATTATTGCGCAATTGATTCAGAGTCACGTTATACTTTATATGGAAAAGATGAAAACTGTACTGATGATGTTAACTTGATTGTGGGTATGGTTTGAGTAGCGTTAGGAGGGACAAACGTTTCTTTCCTTAGAGATGCAAGCATTCTCTCTCACTCTCTTTCCATACCTCACCTTCTGCTAGACTATTGCAATAACCGCCCGATGTTCATCCATTTCCATGATAAACTAACCTGACTGGTCAACCTCTCCTGTTGGTGTTTTTCAAGATGCTACATTGTAACCCCTTAAAATATGCCTGTATTCCTCTAAGGCACTCTTTTTGTTGCGTGTGAAGTATTCTGATGATTCTAAATGTGGGCTACCCTGCTAAGATTACTATTGTCATTCCGACGTCCACGTGACAGTTTCACAGTTTACCATCGGTTCGTAAATTGAACCAGGTCTTTGAATTCTTCTTTTACTTGCGTAGATGGAGTAATATTTTGATACTATTGTGTATAATAACACTTTCACATGCCAAACATTCATTGGTAATCTTGGTTTTACCTTGAAATGAAAATTTACCTAATCCGAATACGTTATTGCTATTTTTGCCAAATAAAAAGGGATTTTCCCCGTAGTTTCTGCCTCAATTTGTATTCTATACTTTGTCATCTCACCTCGTCTTCTACATGCCTTCCTGGTTTATGGTCTTCTACTCGTAAAAGACTTCAAAGTTATTCTCAAATCTTTTAAATTCGCGTCTCTGGGCAGCGAATTGTCTTGCACTCAGATTATCAAAACCGTCTCTTCCAAACACTTTCAAGCAAGTAAAACTTTCTCTGGAATAATAGAACAGACACGTTACATCCTGTGCTCAGTGGTTTATGCCCATCTATTTCCTAATTCAAGCATCTATAGTTGCATTCAGTTTTTCCGTATACCGCCTTCCTTTTAAAGTGTTTACAAGTGACTAGGATTCCAAATTAGTTACCTCACTTGGTTTGACCTAGGGGATAACATCGAACCACGGGCACAAGTTCTGCCACGTGCCTTCCGGTATGAGCAGTCATGTTAGCTCGGAGTAGACGTGCGAGTTAGAAACGGAGAGTTGAAGAGATTGATGAGTGAAGTGTGAGACAGAAGGAACAGGGTCGTTCAATTCACAACCACATTTAAACACATTTGCATCCAGCTGTTGTAATCAGGTATTGGTTTTCTTTTCCCGGATTTTTAAAATATGTTATTCTATAGACCCAATTAGGAGACAATCACTGTCAGTAATAACCAAGCAGGGAGTGGGTATATCTGTGTTTGTGGATAAGTTCTATAAGGATTGATTGAACAGTTGCCTGGTTATTGTCGATCCATGATCGAGATTAATGAAAAATCAATGGGCGTGATGAACTCCTAATGTGACAGATAATTTTTCAAGACAGTAATGATATTCGCTCGGTTGACTAAGATACGAGCAAAACAAGAGATGATGCTATTTCGGTAGGTGGTGGAAACCCTCCGGTTAAGCAGAGCTGAATGTTACCAGACGCGTCCTCGAGTTGTGGATAGGGGGATACCTTCACCGAAGAACGTTAGCTGTCAATAAGTTGTCGCATACCACAATAAATAA